AATTAATTTCTCATTATTTATAATTCTTTTGAAGCTGTGTATTAAATAATGATTATTCAATTTTGTATTTGTATATATTAAAAAAATAGATTAATGTATAAAAAAAATGCATATAAGTCCTGATATGAAAAAATTGGATTTTTAATTTTAAATTATATCATTTTATTTAATTAAAATTTTTAATTTGTGACCTCTTAATAACCCATTAAGAGAACCTGTTGGATCATAGGTCAATAAGGGGTTAACTCAATGGGTCATCAAGATAACCCATTTGACCTATTTATTTTTTTAATAATTTATTTTATTTTATTAAAATAATAAAATAATCTCAAACAATTTATAGTCTAAATCCCTCATTTTTTCCTCCCAAAATATCATTTTTGGATCTTCATTTCTTTGTGTAGCCACACAGCAAGCCATATCACTTAAGAATACTTATTTTTTCTAATTAGCAATGCTACAACAATGAGTGTCTTTTTTTTCTTTTCTTTTCTTTTTTCTTCTCCCTATTTTGATTCTTAAATTTTTAGAATTGGAATTAATTGAGAGCCCATTTATAGAACTTAGTTGCTTGCCTTTTCCAATACTCAGTCTTTTAGATTTGAAAAGGTATAAAAAAAGTAGAAAAAAAAAAAAAAAAGTTCAACATGGTCAACCCATGGGTTAACCTATGACCTGTTTTAACTTGACTCAGCCCACCTGTTTGTTAGGCTTACTTGAAATGGCTGACTATCACCCACATGAATAACTTAAGAGATCATATGGCACAATAAACTCTATGCTAATTTCTTTTGCAGACTAAAATCACTAACAGTTGAAAATTATGAAAACTATATATTTAGTTTTCTTAATTATATATGACAAATATTATATACACACAATAAAATTGTTGGAATTATATAATATTACCTAGGAGTAATAACCTATCTCTATATAAATATTACACTACCTATGATTATTGGTTTTTTTTTTTTTTTTATATATATATGAAAAAGTTAGGTACATCTCAATTTATGCCTTTGCCATGTAGGCATTATTACTAGTATATTAATTCTAAAGGCGTAATGTAAAACTTTAAATATAAAAATTATTTATTATTAACCATTATGCACAACAAGTGCGTCTCTTTACTTATTGTGCCTAAAAATTTTTCACTTAAAAGGTAAAATTACTCAATTTAAGAAAATTAATTAATTGGACGATGCTTAACTATTCCAAACGGAGTCTATTGCCATTCTTCATTCTACATGTCTATGTCTGTCAATTCTCATGTTTTTGCTTTGGGACTATCATTACATTGTTTCTTTGGATTAATAAAAAATTCTTAACAAAAAAAATCTTTTAATGATGAGGTATTTTAGTTTGGAGTTTTTAATTTTGTTTTTAATTAGGTAATTCTGGCACAACTTACTTCAAAAAATCTATTCTTTTGTCTCGTTTTAATAGTTGTTTGGTTTTAAATTCATGAATTGTTTTATCAGCAAAAGCAGAAATTTTTGTTTATAATACTTTTAATTCTTTACAGGATTACTTATAAACAACATTCTCACTTGGCATCCAAATCTCAGATTATATCTCACCACACACAGAGTTCTAGTGGCGCCTGTTAATTTAAGGCATGCCAAAACCAATACACACTCAAAATATGTAGGAATGGTGGAGTTACCTTTGCCTGGTTCCTTCACATTGGTTTTCTATGCAATTTCTACTTTTGTTTATCTTCTAACCTCTTCTTTTGGTCAGTCCCAAAGCACAAATAGCAAGATTGAGACACCAATCTGTATAAGAGACCATGGAACCATCCACCTTAGTCGCTTGTTGTCCACATAAATGATTTCCTTTAATTTTGAATCAATTAAAGAGCCATATAAGCATAATCCCTAGAAATAAGGAGTTAAAGACACCACCATTTACAGCTCCAACTACAATTAAGAAGTACATGGCTTAGCTCCTCCATTCTACAATTTTTAACACCATTTGACCATCCTTTTTCTTATCCATCAACAAAATGATAAGCTTTTCTGACAAAATGAATTGTATGCAGGTTGTGTTACCAAGCCTAGAGGAGTTGCAATTATGCTGGAGGAATGTTAACATCAAATCCCTCACTTCAATAACATCTTTTTGTGTCCAGAGATTGAAGAAATTGATCATTCAAGGCTTTGACAATTTGGAATTTTTGTTCTCATCTTGTGTGGCTAGAGGTCTGGTGATGCTTGAACAACTTGAAATAAAGGAATGCACGAGGATGAGAGAGATTATTGTCATAGAGAATGCAGAAGAAAAAGAGAATTTGATTTTTCCTCAATTGAAACACCTATCGATAGAAGACCTTCAAAACCTTGTTGCATTCTACTTAGGAAATTGTATTGTTGAATTCCCATCCTTGGAGGACTTGGAAGTATTGAATTGTCCCGAATTGAAGGGATTCACAGTTAAATATTCTGAAAGCACAAGTTGCATAGTTAACATACAGACACTCTTCAATGAACAGGTTCCTCATTTCACTTTCCTCTTGGCTTTAATTTTAGGGATTAATAATTGTCCTTATCCTTTCATTGTCAATGGCATGATGCTTTCATTCATTATATAGGTTGCATTTCTCAACTTGAAATGCTTTCATTCATTATATAGGTTGCATTTCTCAACTTGAAATGCTTTCATTCATTATATAGGTTGCATTTCTCAACTTGCAATGGTTGACTATCACCCACTTGAAAAACTTGGAGATGATATGGCACAGCAAAGTGCGTGCAGATTCCTTTTGCAAACTGAAATCATTAACAGTTAAAAATTGTGACAAGTTATTGACTGTTTTTCCTTCTACTGAGGTAATATGTTCCTCATTTCACTTTCGTTTTGGTTTTGATTTTGGGGACTAATAAGTGTCCTTATCCCTTCACTGTCAATGGCTTGATGCTTTCATTCATTATGTAGGTTGCATTTCTCAACTTGCAATGGTTGACTATCATCCACTTGAAAAACTTGGAGATGATATGGCACAGCAAAGTGCGTGCAGATTCCTTTTGCAAACTGGAATTATTAACAGTTGAAAATTGTGACAAGTTGTTGACTGTTTTTCCTTCTACTAAGGTAATATGTTCCTCGTTTCACTTTCGTTTCGATTTTGATTTTGGGGACTAATAATTGTCCTTATCCCTTCACTGTCAATGGCTTGATGCTTTCATTCATTATGTAGGTTGCATTTCTCAACTTGCAATGGTTGACTATCACCCACTTGAAAAACTTGGAGATGATATGGCACAGCAAAGTGCGTGCAGATTTCTTTTGCAAACTGGAATTATTAACAGTTGAAAATTGTGACAAGTTGTTGACTGTTTTTCCTTCTACTGAGGTAATATGTTCCTCATTTCACTTTCGTTTCGGTTTTGATTTTGGGGACTAATAATTGTCTTTATCCCTTCACTGTCAATGGCTTGATGCTTTCATTCATTATGTAGGCTGCATTTCTCAAGTTGGGACGGTTGACTATCACCCACTTGAAAAACTTGGAGATGATATGGCACAACAAAGTGTGTGCAGATTCCTTTTGCAAACTGAAATCATTAACAGTTAAAAATTGTGACAAGTTATTGACTATTTTTCCTTCTACTGAGGTAATATGTTCTTCATTTCACTTTCGTTTCGGTTTTGATTTTGGGGACTAATAATTGTCCTTATCCCTTCACTGTCAATGGCTTGATGCTTTCATTCATTATGTAGGCTGCATTTCTCAACTTGCAATGGTTGACTATCACCCACTTGAAAAACTTGGAGATGATATGGCACAGCAAAGTGCGTGCAGATTCCTTTTGCAAACTGGAATCATTAACAGTTGAAAATTGTGACAAGTTGTTGACTGTTTTTCCTTCTACTGAGGTAATGTGTTCCTCATTTCCCAATTTGAAATTAGATTTGACATTCTTAACTTGACGCGTTAGCTTGCCTATGACCTACCTATTTAAAATGAGTTAAGGTCAATCATTTCTGATTTGTGACTTCTTACTAACCCATTAAGAAAACATGTTGGATCATGGGTCAATAAAGGGTTAACTCGATAGGTCAACAAGATAACCCATTTGACCCATTTCTTTTTTTAATCATTTATCTTATTTTATTAAAAAAATAAAATAATATAAAACAATTTCTACTCTAAATCCCTCATTTTTTCCTCCCAAAATATCATTGTTGGATATTCATTTCTTTGTGTAGCCACACAGCAAGCCGTATCACTTACCAATACTTATTTTTTCCAATTAGCAATGCTACAACAATGAGTGTGTCTTTCTTTTCATTTTTTTTTTCTTCTCCCTATTTTGATTCTTAAATTTTTAGAATTGGAGTTAATTGAGAGCCCATTTATAGAACTTAGTGGCTTTGCTTTTCCAATACTCAGTTTTTTAGATTTAAAAAGGTATAAAAAAAAGTGAGAAAAAAAAAAGTTCAACAGGGTCAATGCACGGGTTAACTTGTGACCTATTTCTACCTGACTCACCCACCTGTTTGCTAGGCCTACTTGACCTACTTGAAATGGCTGGGTATCACCCACTTGAAAAACCTGGAGATCATATGACACAATAAACTATATGCTAATTTCTTTTGCATACTAAAATCACTAACAGTTAAAAATTATGCAAACTATATATTTAGTTTTCTTAATTATATATGACAAATATTATATATACACAATGGTATTGTTGGAACTATATTGAATTGCCTAGGAGTAATAACCAGTCTATAAATATTACACTACCTATGATTATTGTTTTTTTTTTTTTTGAAAAAATTAGGTACATCTCAATCTATGCCTTTGCCATATAGGTATTATTACTAGTATATTAATTCTAAAGGTGTAATGTAAAACTTTAAATATAAAAATTATTTATTATTAACTATTATGCATAACAAGTGCGTCTCTTTGCTTGTTATGTCTGAAAATTTTTCACTTAAAAGTAAAATTACTCAATTTAAGAAAATTAGTTAATTGGACAATGCCTAACTATTCCAAACAGAGTCTACTACCATTTTTCCTTCTGAATGTCTATGTCTGTCATTTCTCATGCTTTTGCTTTGGAACTATCATTACATTGTTTCTTTGGATTAATAAGAAATTCTTTACAAAAAAAATCTTTTAATGATGAGGTATTTTAGTTTGGATTTTTTAATTTTGTTTTTAATTAGGTAATTCTAGCACAACTTACTTCAAAAAATCTATTCTTTTGTCTCGTTTTAATAGTTGTTTGGTTTTAAATTCATGAATTTTTTTATCAGCAAAAGCAGAATTTTTTGTTTATTATACTTCTAATCCTTTATAGAATTACTTATAAACAGCACTCTCACTTGGCATCCAAATCTGAAATTATATCTTACCGCACACACAGACTTCTAGTAGTGCCTATTAATTTAAGGCATGCCAAAACCAATACACACTCAAAATAGGTAGGAATGGTGCCTGTTACCTTCACTTGGTTCCTTCACATTGGTTTTCTGATGCAATTTCTACTTTTGTTTATCTTCTAACCTCTTCTTTTGGTCATTCCCAAAGCACAAATAGCAGGATTGAGACACCAATCTGTATAAGAGACCACACAACCATCCACCTTAATTGCCTGTTGTCCATATAAATGATCTCCTTTAATTTTGAATCAATTAAAGAGCCATATAAGCATATACATCCTTCCCTTTAAATAACCTTTTGTTCTTGCATATCCATCAACCACATAGTCCAAGCGTTAACAAAAAACAATAATGATCAAACTTCCCTCTCAGTTCTACCTACCACCCCAAAATTGTGTTGATTATATGACTGTAATCCCTAGAAATAAGGAGTTAAAGACACCCCTACTTACAGCTCCAACTATGATTAAGAAGTACATGGCTTAACTCCTCCATTCTACAATTTTTAACACCATTTGACCATCCTTTTTTTTAACCATCCTTTTTCTTATCCATCAACAAATTGATAAGCTTTTCTTACAAAATGAATTGTATGCAGGTTGTGTTACCAAGCCTAGAGGAGCTGCAATTATGCTGGATGAATGTTAACATCAAATGGCTCACTTCAATAACAACTTTTTGTGTCAAGAAATTGAAGAAATTGATCATTCAAGGCTTTGATAATTTGGAATTTTTGTTCTCATCTTGTGTGGCTAGAGGTTTGGTGATGCTTGAACGACTTGAAATAAGGGAATGCAAGAGGATGAGAGAGATTATTGTCACAGAGAATGCAAAAGAAAAAGAGAATTTGATTTTTCCCCAATTGAACCACCTATCGATAGAAGACCTTCAAAACCTTGTTGCGTTCTACTTAGGAAATTGTATTGTTGAATTCCCATCCGTGGAGGATTTGAAAGTACTGAATTGCCCTGAATTGAAGGGATTCACAGTTAAATATTTTGAAAGCACAAGTTGCATAGTTGACATGCAGACACTCTTCAATGAACAGGTAATATATTCCTCATTTCACTTTCATCTTGACTTTAATTTTAGGGACCAATAATTGTCCTTATCCTTTCACTCTCAATGGCATGATGCATTCATTTATTATGTAGGCTGCATTTCCCAACTTGGAAAGGTTGAGTATCACCCACTTGAAAAACTTGGAGATGATATGGTACAACAAACTATATGCAAATTCCTTTTGCAGACTAATATCATTAAAAGTTGGAAATTGTGAAAAGTTATCAACTGTTTTTCCTTGTACTGATATATTGGGAAAAGTCTTAAAATCCCTAGAGGTGTTATCTATATATCGGTGTGGCTCACTCGAAGGGATATTTGAAATTGCTGAGTTCAATGTCAAACAAACACATGCTGTAATTGACACCAAGTTCAAAGAATTGAATATTGAAGGCCTACCAAGATTGAAGCATGTGTGGAATAAGGATTCCCAAGGAACACTCACTTTTCACGACCTGGAATCAGTCAAGGTAAGCTATTGTGGGAGTCTCAAAAATTTGTTTCCAGCTTCAATAGGCAAAAACCTTTTGCAACTCCAAAAGCTACATTTATACTGGTGCGGGGTGGAGGAAATTGTCACAATGGGAGAACAAGAAGCTAGAGCAATTGTTAGCTTTGAATTTCCTCAAGTAACAAGTCTTAAGCTTGAGGTGCTACCAAGACTCCAATGTTTCTACCCAAGGAAGCACACGACAATGTGGAAAATGTTAAAAAAGTTCTATTTTTCCCATTTCAATCTAGTAAAGGGAGCAGATGGGCGTGGGCAACTTGACTTCCCTGTACGACTACCACTTTTCTCTACAAAAAAGGTACGATTCGTATCATAACTTTTCATTGTGAAATTAGAACCCCTCTCCAAAATAAAATAATAAAAGAACACCTTACTACAAATATATATCATGTAACAAGTCATTAATTTTTAATAATCACCATACATGGATAATGATATCATATTGGAAAGATGCAATAACTTGCTTTAGTGAGACTCGAGTGGTCTTTTTAACGAAATATTGTTTGCGAGACTGCTTGAAAATGGTTCTTAGTATTCCATTAACTTTGTCTTTATTGTTTTGAATCTCTCTGTTTAATAAATCTGCTTGTGTTATTTAAGAAAAACATTAAAAACTTTTATTATGGCTATCGAATCAATATAAAGAAAATCTTGATTTGTAGGCTAAGAAAAACAAGCTATTTAGTGATCATGAAGGGAGAAAGTGCTGGCTTTAGATTTTGAATTCTGTAGAGAAAACTAATTACTATCACGGTTAGAAAATTTGGTTAAAAATATGAACTCATATCACTTGAATGCATAATCTGATCTAGTATAAAAGTGTATTAAATGTTAAGCTTTAGAAGCTAGGAATGGTAAGCAACAGGTATTAAGTTAAGAGATAGTATCTTATAAGTGAAAGGCATATTATTTTAAAGTCAAATCATTTATACATGTATTTAGCGGGAAGTCCATTTCAAAATATATTTACAAAGTGTAATGATTGGTTTAACTGAAGAACTCTCATCTGATTATACCCAGGATTGGAACAAACTTAAAAAATTTTTAGCCATATGCAATGTTGGCAAAATCAAATTTACCTTCGCATAAACCATAAGAAATTTCTAGACTTCCAAAAACGCTAGCTGTACTCAGTTAACCTAAAATGGCTAGAGAAACAAACATGAGCAATGAAGTTCAGTAAGCATAAGTTATAAACTAAAGCTGTAAGTAAGCTTTGAGTCAAATTAACAAGAACAATCAAATAATCCATGTTAAAACTTATAACTAGAATCCAAAAAAGATAGATTATGAAGGTGGCGGGCATAGCTTAACCATATAGATCAAATCTCTTAGATAGGTTCTTCATAGATTCAACACTAAATCATTAACTTCAAACATATATAATAAATAAAATCAGATTACCAAACAATTTAGAGAAACAAACAATCACAGAGTCTATGAGTCCACTTAACAATCTGTGTTGCACTTCACATTAAAAGCAGATTGCCAACCATAGCCTCCTTACTGCATAGAGGTCCAATCAATCAAAGGTTCTCAACTTGGAGCCCAAACAATTAACTAGCAGTTAGCGTAGGTTCCAACCCTCTATAGACTCAAATAATAGTATAAAGCACATAGCAGAAGCTATAATAATCATGGTCTGACGAAATAGATATCAAACACCAAGTCTCACAAAATACATAGACAGAAGCCCCTTTCTCTTCCTTTGGTTTCTAGTTTAGAAATTATGCAAATACAACTGCTTAATGCTTACATGCAAATGTAAATTGTTTGGATGTTTGCCATATGTCATTACCACCCCAAATAGACTTGACAGTTGTATTCCATTATAAAAATTTCTGAAAATTTACATGCAAACTTGAAACTTTGTTTTTACGCAAGTTAGATCTGACAATTAAGAATAGAAACTTATGAATTGTACAATTAAGGGTAGGATCATTACATTCATTCCACCCAAAAATACACTATTTATGCATCATTTTCAATTCAAGTAGTAATAAGAGGGTATTTGGTTTCCATGTGAAAAATATACTTAATATTTTTAATAATTTTTTTTCTTTTATATATATAAAATCACAAGATCTTATTTTATTAAATTGTATTTCTTTTTAGATCATCCCTCAATTGGAGAAACTATCATTAACAAGAGATGACATTGCAATGATATGTGAGCATGAGTCTAAACAAGACATTCTTTTCAATGGCAAAGTTCTTCAAATTCAGGACTATCTTGATGATGAATTAGATGTTTTACCTGTTGGATTCCTAAAAAGGTTCTGCCATCTAGAAAATCTCATTGTGAGCTATTGTAATTTTAAAGAGTTGTTCCCTTCAAAAGGAGAAGTTGAAGAACAAGAGAAACACATTGAGATTGAGACACTCTCAAGGATTAAAACATTAAATTTGAAGTGCCTTCCATATCTCAGGCATATATGGAGCCATGACTCACCGAGTGTCCTTCAAAATCTTGAAACTCTTGATATATTCAAATGTGATAGTTTGATTATATTATCAACTTCAATTTCATCTTTCCAAAATCTCACCACTTTGAATGTAACAAGTTGCAAAGGGATGATAAATCTGGTTTCAGTCTCAACAGCACAAAGTTTGGTGCAGCTAGAAAGTATAACTGTAGAGAGCTGCCACATGTTGACTAAAATAGTTGGAAGTGAAGGAGATGGAATGCAAGATTATATCATGATCACTTTTGCTAAACTAAGATTTTTGACACTTCAACAGTTGCCAAGACTAGAAAGCTTTTGTTCAGAAAATTTCACCTTCAAATTCCCATGTTTAGAAGAGGTAACTGTAAAGCAATGCCCCAAGTTGAAGATCTTCAGTGAGGGAGAGCTAGATACACCATTGCTATGGAGAGTAATAATTAAAGAAGAGGACAAGTACCGTTGGGAAGATGACCTTAATACTACCATACAAAGAATGTACATGGAAGAGGTATGAATTGATTTCTAAATATTTGAAGCCACTCATTCTTTTTATAAAAAATTGTTTGATTTATTTTTGGATTGTGTTATATATATAACTGCCCTTGTTTTTTTGCACTTGCGTAGGTTGGATTTGCTGGGTTGCAACTTTTGATGCTATCAGATTTTCCTAAGTTCATGGAAACATGGTATATCAAGAATCCTCAAGGACTCTTAGATTTCAGACGGCTTCAAGTGCTGGAAATTTGTAATTGCAGCAAATTCAGGTACCTCTTGACCCATTCCATGGCCATGGGCCTAGTGCAACTCTTGCAGTTAATAGTAAAAAACTGTGGGACAATGGAACAAGTGATAATGGGAGAAGGAGCAGAAAATAAAATGGAATTCTCACATCTTTCTTTGATCAATCTAGAGTCTTGTTTAGATTTGACAAGTTTCTATGTGGGAAGTCATAGTCTTGAGCTTCCAAGCTTAAATGATTTTATTGTAAAGGACTGCCCAAAGATGGTCACATGTGCTGCTTCTACATCTTCAGAAGAGCACGACAAAGAGGAATCTCAATGCCTCTTTAGCAGTAAGGTCAGTTTCTTTTCTTCTTTTCCATTTTTCTTTGTTTTTACAGCAACATGGTTAGTTTTATATATTTATTTATTGTAATTAAGATTTTACAGTATATTTATGGTTGCTTTTCGCTTGTCAATGTTGCCATCTCCACTTCTTTAGCTTCATGAATGAATCTCCTTAAACAAGTTCCACTTAATACACCATTAGAAAACAAAGACTCCTGGCTAGAACAACCACTTTAAATGTGAAGTTACTCAAGTTTTAAAGTAGGATTATTGATCCAAATAACATTTTTTTCCCTTTTTTGTCTGCATTGACCCAAATAACGTTAAGTCCAAAAAGAGTTCACTGATTTCTACTCAAAATAACAATGTACTTCACATAATTGCACGTTGTCTTCGTGTTCTTGGTTTGATATTATCCTTGTAATGTTTTTAGTTTAATCAATTTAAAAAACAAAAACTTTTTGATGAAAATTCTGTTAGGTTGACTTTCTCAACTTGGAGTTTTTTAAAATTTCTAAAGTTAACATTAAGCAAATATGATAGAGTCATCTTCCTACAATGTCTTGTATTAACAGACTAACTATGAGTCTTTGCAGGTGGAGACTCCCAACTTGGAGTTTTTGAGTCTGTCTTCAAATAACATTCAACAAATTTTGGACAATTTGATTCCAAAAATCTCTTCTTATGTCCAAAATTTAAGAAAGTTGTGTGTGGAGGGTTGTGGTAATTTGAAAAATCTATTGAAGTCCTCCATGGTTAAGAGTTTTGAGCAATTGAATTGGCTTGAGATTCGGGATTGTCATATGATCGAAGAGATAATACTTGTAGAAGAATCAGTGGACGAGGAAAGGATGTGCAAGATTTTCTTCCCTAACCTGGAGTTCCTACTACTCCAAGACCTTCCAAAACTCAGAAGATTTTGTTCTGGAAATTACTTGGAATTACCATGCCTTTGGAAACTTAAGATAAGCAAGTGCCCTGTGCTGAAGACTTTCATCTCTAACTTTATTTTTGGAGACATGATAGCTAGTTTTGATAATGTCAAAAACACTTGTGCACTTTCTCTGTTCGACACAAAGGTGATTTCTCCCTTTTTTTCCCTTTATATTTTTCTTTTTAATGTCTTATAATGCTATTATTATTTTCTTGTCTTCTTAAAGTTTTACATTTTAAAAAATTAGATTCCAATCTTTTTCATTTCATTACATTTATGATTATGTTTAATTTTAATTGAATTATGTAAATCTTTAGGTGGCATTCCCCAAATTAGAGCGTTTGATCATTGAACATGTGAAGAGCTTGAATAAGATATGGAATGACCAACTCGAAGTAAATTCTTTTTGCCAACTAACTTTGATGAGCATAGTTTCATGCGAAAAGTTAATGACTATTTTCCCATTTAGTATGGTGGAAAGGCTTCAGAGACTAGACAAACTCCGAATATGGAACTGTGATTCACTTGAAGAGATACTTGAGTCTCAAGAACCTAGTATTAGTCAATCACAAGCTCAAAAGGCCACTCCGCTACCTTTGTTGGAAACCGTCACATGCTTGGAGGATGATGTGAAGGATGAGATTGTCTTTAGCAAACTCAAGTATTTGCAACTTTGTGGTTTGCCTAGACTTTCAAGCTTTTGCTTTGTTAAATGCAAGTTTGAGTTCCCATTTTTGGAAGAGGTGATTTTGATGGATTGTCCAAGTATGCAAACTTTCTCTATGGATGAAATAAGAACGCCAAAATTGCAAAAAGTAAAATTGACTGGAGATGTAGATGAAGGCTTTTGGGATGACAACCTAAACTCGACCATACAACTACATTTGACGTGAAAGGTATGCATTGTTCAAAAGATCTCTATAGGTTTTCTTCTTTTAAGTTCTATCTATTTCTCGTTTTGTTTATTACACAAATCTTCACTTAGAGTCTTTAAAATAACAGGAAAGAGTAGAAGGGTATGTATGAATGCTTGATAGATCATGATTTTGAGAAGGAAATTTTTGCTATAATTTTTCCTTTCACCTTCAGTATTGTGGTGTTTCTATGTCCGCAGAGTCGAGGTGATTCTGAAAATTGAGATCAAAGAAATTGCGGCCTATGTCCTTTCCAAGTGAAATTTGATGGTGAGTCGGTCTCATGCTTCCATCATCTCTACAATTGTTTGATAAGGGTACATCTCTTGTAAACATGCATG